CAAGGATTTTATACCTGGGAACCAAAAGCCTCAGGAAGACTACTGCGCAGACTTCACAGCTCCCTTTAGCAGTGAGGAACCAAAGCCAAATTCACACCTTGACAGATAGTCTTGCCACACGTGGTTATGGCCAGTGCTACCTTCCATGAAACCCAATTATCTCCTGCCCATAGCTTCTATTTGTCCCTAGCTAGTGAAGATGAACAGGATGGCAGTGAGTAAAACTGTAACATCTTCTCTCTGGTCCTCCCTCCCTCCCTCAGGGATGTCCCTTCCCCCTGTAGGTGAGAATGAGTTAGCCTGGGCACAGAAGTGCAAAATTAAAGTCCTTGGTGCCCCACTACAGGATGTGGAGGGGAGGCCAGGGCACTTCCAGGAAAAGGAAGGATGAAGCAGGAAAAGGTGGTGCCTCACAGACGAAACAGCCCTGTTGGTGGAGTCTAGGGTGTGCCTGTGTTTCCATCATCTTCTTTTCTTTTCTCTCTGCCTCCCCCAAGATGGGGATTGTAAAGGGAGTCCCTGTGAGACCAGGGTTGATCACGGAACAGTCCAGGGACAGCCGGCTACATCTTCAAAACTTGGGAGATTCCATAGGGCCTTGAGTCATCTCTCATCAGCCTGCTACTTCGGGAAGTTAGGCTTATCTGGGGAAAGGGAGATAACATTCAACCCCCAGCTATTCAACTTTCACCCAATTTCCTTTCCAACTCATTATTCCATCCCCAACGAGTGAATGCGCCTCACCAGATCCTGACAAGAAAGAGCAGCTGGAGAACCTTAAGTCCAGCCGTCAGCCCACTCCTGCCCCTCACAGCGCTGAGGTGTCTCTATGAGAGGCGAAGTGGGTCTGTCTGTGGCCCTTCAGCAACCCTGGAGCCTGAAGGAAGCCCCTCAGCTCCTAGGTACCTGACTGCGGTCCCAATCTCAGGGGGCAGGGATGTGGAAAATATTCTGGGAGAATGCAGATAACTATCAGGCTGAGTGGGTTTGGAATATCATACCTCTAGTAGTAACAACAACAATAATAACAGCAGTAATAATATTAATAATACATTCCCTTTACTCACAAATCTCTTCTACTCTTTTCTGGTATTGGGTTTGTCCCTGAAGTTCTCTCTGTGTAAATTTAAAAATAGTCATTTTGCCCGTTAGCCGTAGGGAGAATTTGCTTTTGAATCAGGATCTCTGGGAAGTGTGACATAGAGATCAAAATTTTTCCTAGGTGTGGCTCAGCCTGCCTTGCTTCTTTGTCCACTTTTCCCCCATCTGCTGAGAACCCATGGTCCATTTTCACGGCATCCTCTGTCAGCTGCTTGCTGCCCCCCTGTTCCCTTCCTGCCTTCATGTCTCAGAATCCAGAACACAGCCTTCTCGGTGGAGAGCTGGGATGATCACATTGCTCTCGGGACAAAGAGGGCAAGGGGAGGATTGGAGACTCAGGGGAAGAACAGGGAGGCTCGTCTCGGGGCACAAGAGAGACCACGAGTTGGGAGAGCAGTTAAGGAAATTGGAGACTGACTACCTTGGTTTCAACTCCTTAGCTTTGTGTTTTTGGATGAGACAGGTATAAAATCCTTGGTTCCTCAATTTCCTCATCTGTATAACAGGAGTAATAAGAGTACCTATTTCATAGGCTGTTGTAAGAATTAAATAATCATATAGATGAATATGCAAAAACTTAGAACAGGGTGGGGCAGATAGTGAATGCTCACTATAATGGTAGAGGTTATAACTGGGGGGGGGGTCCAGGCTGTGTATCTGTAAATGACATAGGGACTATACCACCATTGGGGCTATTTTTAGATATCTGTAAACTAATAAGAAGGGAAAGAGACAACCTACAAACTTAGTTTTGTTATGAAAAATTATAATAATGAACATAGTTATCTAGGACTATTTATGACTAGTTTCCATTTTCAAAATAATTATTAAGTACTTTATTATTGTGTCAGACAGATTTTAAGATTTGCCTGCAGTACACTTTTTTTTTAAAATGGCAAATAGTGTGTTCACAACTTACTAAAAAACAAAATGTATACAGATTATGTATTAACCCAGCTTCACATCCTCCTCTAAAATCTAACAAACACTTGTGACTGATTACTCTTCTACATTTATTGAGTGGCAACAACCACACTTACACAGGTAAAGCTGGATAAAAAAATTGAAATGATGTCAGTATCTAGACAATACAAGAGAATGGGAAGGTGGATGGTATAAATTCTCTGTTAAAAGTTGGGCATTTTGATAGGAGTTAAATTAAACTAGCTAATTGGGTTATTTACTTATTCTAAAAAAGAATCAGTTGCATTCATTGGAATTTTTTCTTCTCTTTTCCTGATTGGCTTAGGTCTTGACGATTTCTGGGTAACATAGAAAGAGCCAGGGCTAACAAATAAGAAAAATAAACCTATTACCCTCACCCCTGCCTCTACTGCTTCATGTCTGCTGACAGAATATCATTAGAGGTTGTATTTCAAAAAAGCTGTAGTTATGGAATATTAGCTTCACTTGATCTCTACAGAATATGGAAATTTAAAAATTCCATTTACTGTCCCTATTATTTGAATTAGACAAAATACAGAGCTGGAGAATGGTGACTGAATATAATCACCCAAAAGAAATGACAATATAAAGAGTAGGAATCAATTACACATATGCATACACCATATATATATCCCCTTCAGTTGCATTTGGATACAGAATTCTTTAAACTGTGTTGTTTTTACTATAAAAGCAACAGAGGGCCATTGCAAAAACTGGAAGATGCTGAAAATAATCATGAAGATTATAAAATTAACCCCTAACTCCTGCTGTCCAGAGATCCACTGTTAACATTTTGACTTAAAAAATTTTTGCACATTTATATTTTAAAAGTTCTGAACAAACTTTGGGTCAATTAAATAGGAGAATATATAGTTTTCATCTTTATTCTCTCACTGAAAAAATCATGAATATTTTCCAGACAGGAATATCGAAGTCTGTTTCTGACTTTTCTTATATTTAGTCACTATATTAAAAAAACAGATTTAAAAACCCAAATTTCTCCTGTACAGCACAGGGAACTATATTTAATATCTTGTAATAACCTTTAATGAAAAAGAATATGAAAACAAATATATGTATGTATATGCATGACTAGACCATTGTGCCATATACCAGAAATTGACACATTGTAACTGACTATAATTCAATTAAAAAAAAGAAACAAGGCATTATTTCAAATGTTTAAGTGGGAGATGTTATTTCTAGTAATTTAGCCATAACTATGTGCAGAATCTGAGGATTAACATTCACCTCATGGTTCACTCCTCTGCGAGACAGCGTACCTTAAAATGGGCTGAGTTGGTTGGTAGGTGAGAAAGAGGAAAAATGAGGAATGGTCCATCATTGACTGGTATGGGATGAGAAAATAGTCCAGAGATGACAAAACTGTTCTTAGTTTGCTTAGGTTGACGAAGTTCTGATTACTACCCCAGTTTCAGGAGAGGGACTGCTAACAGGCCCAGTTCTAACACTTTTAAAAGACATAGATTTTATATTATTTGAATTAAAAACCATGCATTTGTGTCATAGTAACAGAATTCACATTAAATAAAAAGGCACACAAAAAAAGAAGAATTTGTTTCGAGGGGTAGGATTTCTCACATCATTGTCATTTTTGGCGTTATGGATATTCCTGGACGCTGATGGGGAATTCCTATTATTGCGTTTGGGCATATCCTCTGATTACTCACAGGAAGCGGCCTTCCTATAAAGGAGTCCTGGCGGGAGCAGTGTGCCACGGTTCTTGGCTGACTCCTCATCAGAACTGCAACAGTGGCACAAGACTGAAGCAGCCACAAGACGGGAGGAATCTGACACTGAAACGACAGCTTCACAATACAGTAAGTGCCGAGAAGTCTTTACAAGAGCAGCCTTGGCTGTGAAACGGAGACTATCACCATGAACTGATAGGCAAAAAACCTGATAAAAGGTCTGTGCAAGCTCTTACTGTATTCAGACTAGATAAAACCTGGCTTTTCTTTTTGACTTAAATGATAAAAATCTTAACTTTTTAACTTACTCATTTGGTAAACTTTGGCGTGAACAAAGATTGTGGCAGAGG